CTCCTCATTGGAGGCAGAGGTTCAGAGCTTCTGGGAGGCATGTCAGGCCCCACCCCAGCCAACCTATCCCAGGGAGCCCCAAGACTCTGTGGATAAAATTCTGGAGTCTGTGCCTACAAAGAAGGCCAGGACTTCCATTACTGCTTCTGTGAGGTGCCTACTGTATGCTGTGGGGAGGCTGAGGCTGGGAGCGGCTGGGGACCTTCCACTGTTCCAGGGTGGGTCAGTAGCAGGGCAAGGCCCATGACTGAGAGGTGGGAGGGCCTGGGCTGGGGTGCCCAGCCTGTGGTTGATGATGGTCCCCAGAGGTGAACCAGGGCACGCACTTTTGGGGCAAAGGTTGGACTGGACTGTGGGCAGCCCAGTCCTGCCCACAGGTACCACACAGTGTGCTGGATGAGGAGGGACACCTTTGGCCTAGTCTTCTGCTGCACCAGCTTCAGCCCTGGCTGAGCCTGGCCCTAGTTTGGGGACAGTGTTGCAGCCAGCAGCCATCCAGGCTGAAGGGTCCAGATGGGATGGAATGGCCTATGTCACCTTGCCCACTGTCTTTGCTGTCTTCAAGGCTCACCAGCTAAGAGCCCCAGGCTGCTTTGGGGGACAAAAGAAAGCATTCAGATACACTGAGGAGCTGCTTTAGGTCTGGACACCCCCTGGCATCTTTGGTTTTTCAAGGTCTTTTTCTGCTGAGGTCAGGTGACCACTCCATGTGTGAGTAGACATGCCTCAGTGGCAACAGGGGCCACGCCAAGAGTAAGCAGCGGCCAACATAGGGTGGGCCTCTGCTGGGGGCTCAGGACAGGCCAGGGTCTCCTGGGCAGGGCAGTGGCGTCTGTCAGTCTCTGGGACAAGGGTAGAAGAGGCTGGGCCAGAGTTCATGCAAGCTGGTGGCCCTGTTCCTACTGAGCTTCCTACCCCAACCCTGGGTGGCCTTTGGTGAATTGTTGCAAAATCCTGGCGAGCTCTGCTGGCTTCTCTCATCGGTGAGAGGCTGCACTGAGGAGCTTGGGGCAGGAGGGGAAAGGGTGGTGCCTGCCCTGCCCTGCCCTGCCCTGGGAGTTCTGCTTCCAAGCAAGCCTAGCAGCTGTGGCCCTGCAACAGTGGGTGGCCAGGGCCTGTGCCACACTTACCCAACTAGCCAGGGCCAGGCACAGGGTGGGGGTGGACTGGTACAGTTCCTGGCCAGGGGCCATGGATGGCAGTGGGTGCTTGTTGCCAGCTGTGCCCATCTAAGGAACTGTCAAGCTGGGCTTAGGGAGGGGCCAGCCTAGGCACAGCCAGCAGCTCTTGCAATGAACCTAAGGTCAGAGGATCTTGAGGCAAGGCTACACTGTCTATCTCTGGGACTGACCCTCATGGCTGAAGGGACATGCACCAGGGTCCAGGACAAGGCTGGAAGCAGGAGTGAGGAGGCTGGTGGAAGGTGGGACAGAGTCACAGCCTTGGTAGGGGAGGGGCAGGTGAGAGGACCCCAGGTATGGCCCAGCTGGAGAAGTATCAGAGACAGTCAGGATGGAGCTAGGCAAACGTATGAGATGCCTATGGGCCAGCTAGACAAAGTCTGATTGAGGTGGCATTTGTCATTGGCATGGGAAGAAGAGTCCAGGATGGCCTGAGGGCAAGAGGACAGGTGGAGATGGCTGATGGAGTATGGGGGAGGTACCCCTACCCCATTCTCCTCATGGATGCTTCAGCTCCATGGGGGTGCCTCAGGTGGGTATGTTTATAAGCTTGATGTGTGTGCACGTGTGTTTACCAGCTGTTGTGAGCATGAGCACCTGTGTGTGAGTGTGTGTGTGTGTGTGTGTGTGTGTGTGTGTGTGTGTGTGTCTAGGGAGAGAGGAAGGCTGAGGCCCTGGCTCCCCTCTCTTCCACTCTCCCTAATCCAGTGAGGCCAGTTTGGCTCCTGTCACCACAGCAACGGCACAGCCCCTCCCACCAGCAGGACAGGGTGACCTGGTGGAGCTGGCTGCTCATCCCATCCACTGTAGGGCAGGGATGGCTGTTTCCATCCCTGAGCCAGGAGCAGTCAGGGACAGGATGGCTCCGGGGCTGGGTGAAAGGTGGGGAAATCTGGCCCTTGGTAGGGTCTGCTCTGCTCCCCCAGCCTCCGCCCTGCCCCCTCAGCAGAGCAGCCCAATTGTTGCAGGTTCTTGTGCTTCACTGACTTGCAGTGGGTGTTGGAGGCCCAGGGGCAGGGCTTGGGCCTCTGCAGCCAGACCCCAGCTAGGCCCTCCTCCTTCTGGCCTCTCATCTGTAGGAATGCCCCAGCTCTGCTGCTGTGGGCTGGGCCTACCCACAGGGGCCAGAGCTATTTTTAAGGCCCACCGGATGGGCCTTCCAGGAACCAGGAAAAAACAGGCGGGGACTGGCACCCTGCATGGGGCTTGGCTGGGGGTGTTAAGCAGACCTGTGAGGCCAGAGTCAGCAGAAGGGCTAGAAGCCCTTGGGTCTCTGAGATTCAGCCTGTGCAAGGAGTGCAGAAGCTCTATAGCCAGAGGACCCACCATTTGCCAAGCCAATAAATGGGGTAGACCATGCCCACTGCTGGCAGGGGTAAGGTGAGGCAAGCAGGGCTTATCTGGGGATACAAGGGGTCCTATATCCCTTTGGGGCAGAGCTTCCTCCAGAAGTTATGGTGGTCTGGATGACTGCACACACCAGGCTGCCTGCTCAGTAAACTCCTCAAGCCAGATGGATATTGGATGGACAGCTCCTGGGGGCATGGGCTCCAGTCTATTTTGACTTGTCAGAGCTCACTGCTGGCTCAGGGTTCTCAATCTGCAAGTGCAGGGGCACACACACGTCCATAAAGGAGTGAATGCACAGCAGTGTCAGGAGAAAAGAAAGTTGCAGAGAAATCCCAACCTCAGCAAGTGGTTGCCTCCTGCATCGGGACCAGGCTACCAGGAACCCTCCCCACTGTCCAAGCCCTCTGGAGGTCCTGTGAGGCAGGAGTCCTTCTGGGGTCTCTAGCCCACCTTCAAAGTAAGGGGAGGAGGAGCCGTGGGAGGCTGGGCACATGTAGCTGTTGGTCTAGGGAGACTGGTATCGAGAGCACACCTCGGGAGTTTGGGGGAGCAGAGATGGGGTGCCCCTCCTGGATTTTGGTCTCTCAAGGCTGACTCTACTGGGTTCCAGCCAGGATGACCCAGAGAGTTTCATGAATTGGGCAGGAGGTCCACTGAGGGGGCCTCAGTAATCCCAGTCCCTCCCAGCTGCTGACCTGCTCTCAGGATCTCCGTGGTCAACATCTAGACCCAGAAGGCTCCCCAGCACACCCCCTTCCCAGCATGAAGGCCTGGGGTCCAGCACAGCTTGACTGCACAGCATGGGGAAGGAGACCCTGCTGGACCCTAGGCTGGTCCTCTGCAAGCACCCACACATGGACAATAGCCCTCCTCCCACACAAGTGGTGTAAATTCTACTGAGAGCATGGGCTTGGACATCCTACCTGGGACTTGACCTGGTCAGGGACAAGGGTCCTGGGCTGGCCTGAGTCAGGAGCCATGCCGCACTGCAGGAGAGCACCAGGCTCCAAGACCCTGAGGCTCTTTCAGACAGGAACCAGAAGGAGGCAGTTAGAGAATGTCAGCGTGGGGGACAAGGCCCAAAGAGCTAGAAGGTAGGCGGGACAAGAGCAGAGCCATCACAAGCAAGGCTTAGGGCACCAGTGAGACAGAGAAAGAGCTAGAGAGGAGCTAGTGGGCTTCTGTGCCACAGATGGACCCTAGACTAGGTCAAGAAAGGACCTCAAGCAGAAGAGTGGTGTGGTGGTCAGTGGCACCATTGAAGAGACGGTGAGGGGTAAGAAGCCAGGCCCACAGGCAAGCGTGTGTGCAAGGTCACACCAAGGGGCCAGACACTTGGATCTGCACATGGACGCTTGCTGGGAGCATCAGATAATGTCTTCAACCCACTCTGGGGCTGAGCGGGGTCTTCAGACGGCCACTCACATCCTCTAATCCTGAGCTGTTTTGAGGTCGGCAAGCACATCGTACAGGTGAGCACTGAGACCTCAGAGGAGCACAGGTAGGCTCGGGGCCATGTTGGACCTGGGCTGTGCGGGCCCTGACCCCTGATCACAGAGTCCACTGGTAGAGGCGGACAGCAGATGGATCCGGAGATCAGCCACGACCGCGCCAGGTGGATGGAAAGCAGAGGAAGGCCACCAGGGCAAAGGGTCCGGGGAGGGGAGGCATCCTGGGGGTGGGAGGGGGGTTTGGAGCTGCGGGCCGAGCGGGCTGAGGAGCACCTGGGCAGGGGGTGCTGAGCTGAGGAGTCTCGAGGGGCGGCGACGCCGTCTCCCGCGGCCAGGGCACGTTCGTACTAGGGCGCGCTGGCCGCCGGTGACGCACACGCACATCTGTGTCACCGCGGCCTCAGGGTGACACGGGAGTCCCTCCCGGACTTCCGCCTCTCCTCCGGACCCCGCACCCCTTTTCTCCGCGCGCCCGGACCGCCCACAGGCGGCACAGAGAAAAGAACGCGCGTGTGCCACCAAGCCCGGCGGGTGACCTTCCGCGGAGCCGTCTTGGGGGCGGGACCCGGCAAATCCCGCCCCGCCCCCACCCCCGCCTCGCCATTGGCTGCGCTCTAACCACCCCGTGTCCTTTCAAAACCCTGCTTCCTATTGGCTCACGTGGCCCCACCCGCACCGCCCAAGGCGCCTCGGCCTCCGCCCGCGCGCGAACTGCGCGTGCGCAGAGCGAGTGAGCACACAGAAGGAACCGCGACACGAGGTGCGCCTCCGCGACTCTACTATGCCAATGTAGTCCCGGCGGGTCCCGCCTCCGCCGCCTCACAGCCTTCTCGCACCAGGAAGGCGGCTCCGGCTTTCCCAGTGCCGCCCGGGCGGGCTCGGAGCCGCTGCACAGCGCAAGCCGCGGGAGGAAGGGGGCGGGGGGTTCTGGTGGCCCCGCCCACCGCGGAGGGATACGCGCCACCGGGGCCCAAAACCCCGGGGCGAGGCGGCCGGGGCGTGTGAGCCGCTCGGCCTGCTGCGTGTCTACGCGGTTCCGCGCGGTCACCGGGCGACTGCGCCGCGCGGCCGCTTCGCCGAGCGCCCGGCATATCCGCCGCGTTGTCTGCGGCCCGGGAGGCCGCCCTCCCGCGTCCGCGCCGACCGGGCGAGAGGTGGCGCCGATCGCGAGGCCGCCCGCGATGCTGCTGTCCAAGTTCGGTTCCCTGGCGCACCTCTGCGGGCCCGGCGGCGTGGACCACCTTCCGGTGAAGATCCTGCAGCCAGGTTCGCGGGCGGGCTGGGCCGGGCCGGGCCGGGGCGGGAGCCGGCGGGGCGCCCGGCCGTCACTAAGCCTCTCGTGCGTCCCCATAGCCAAGGCGGACAAGGAGAGCTTCGAGAAGGTGTACCAGGTGGGCGCCGTGCTGGGCAGCGGCGGCTTCGGCACGGTCTACGCGGGCAGCCGCATCGCCGACGGGCTCCCGGTGAGTCGAGTCGGGCCGCTGGGCGGATCCGGGTTCTCGCGCGCCTCGCTCGGCCGCCGGGCCTGACCTGACCACTCGCGTCCCCCCGCAGGTGGCCGTGAAGCACGTGGTGAAGGAGCGGGTGACCGAGTGGGGCAGCCTTGTAAGTCTGCGGGCGGTGCGGGGGTGCGGGCCGGCGGTGCGGGCGGTGCGGGCGGTGCGGGCTGCCCGGCTTTGTGCGCTGACCGCCGTGTCCCCCAGGGCGGCGCGGCCGTGCCCCTGGAGGTGGTGCTGCTGCGCAAGGTGGGCGCGGCGGGCGGCGCGCGCGGCGTCATCCGCCTGCTGGACTGGTTCGAGCGGCCCGACGGCTTCCTGCTGGTGCTGGAGCGGCCCGAGCCCGCGCAGGACCTCTTCGACTTCATCACGGAGCGCGGCGCCCTGGACGAGCCGCTGGCCCGCCGCTTCTTCGCGCAGGTGCTGGCCGCCGTGCGCCACTGCCACGGCTGCGGCGTGGTGCACCGCGACATCAAGGACGAGAACCTGCTGGTGGATCTGCGCTCGGGCGAGCTGAAGCTCATCGACTTCGGCTCGGGCGCGCTGCTCAAGGACACGGTCTACACCGACTTCGACGGTGAGCCCGGCGGGCAACGGGGGGGCAGGGGAGGGCAGGGGAGGGGGCGCGGGGCTGGGGCTCCGCGGTGCGCGCGTGACTCCGGGGCCCCTCCCCGTGCCGGGCGGGCGCTCGCTGGCCTCCCCTGCGTGCGTGCCGAGCGCGGGGGCGCCGCGGCAGAAATCCCCGCATTGCGGAGCGCGGGGAAGCCGGGGCTCCCCGCTCCTCCCTCCTCCCTCGCTGCCCGCCCCGCCTCTTCCCGCGCTGCTCTCTCCTCCTCCCCTCCTTTGCCCTCCCCTCCCCGGCCGCACGGGCTGGGCTGGGACCAAGCTGGAGCGCAGGGCACCGCGCCCCGTGGCCTCACGTCGCATCTGTTTGTTGTGAAACGCGAGCCGAGGCTCATGTGACGCGCGCTCCCCGGGCAGCGGCGCCTCCCCTGCCCGGCACGTCCCTCCCCCTGCGAGGCCCCGCCTGCCGCTGGGGTTTTTCCAGGGTGATGACAAGCAAGATTTTGGAGGCCAGGCTGACCAGGAGTTAATTGGCAGGAGCTCCCCGACCTCTCCTGTCCCTGACCTCGTGTGTCCCCAACCCCTTGTGTTCCCGCAGGCACCCGGGTGTACAGCCCCCCAGAGTGGATTCGCTACCACCGCTACCACGGGCGTTCGGCCACCGTGTGGTCCCTTGGTGTGCTGCTCTATGACATGGTGTGCGGGGACATCCCCTTTGAGCAGGACGAGGAGATCCTGCGTGGTCGCCTGTTCTTCCGGAGGAGGGTCTCCCCAGGTGTGCACTGTGACTTGTGGCTGGGTGGGGGGTAGGGGGAGGAGTAGAACATTCCCTGACCTTCTGCTCTCTCCAGAGTGCCAGCAGCTCATTGAGTGGTGCCTCTCCCTGAGGCCTTCAGAGAGGCCCTCACTGGACCAGATCGCTGCTCACCCCTGGATGCTTGGGTCAGAAGGGGACATCTCAGAGAGCTGTGACCTGCGACTCTGTGCCCTGGACACTGATGATGGGGCCAGCACCACGTCCAGCAGTGAGAGCTTGTGAGGAGGGGCCTGGCTTAAAATGTGTCCTTCTGCAGAAGCAGTGATCTTTGATTCCTGGTGACCTTTGCCCTCGGCACCGGGCCTGTTTCCTTTGCTTTGAGTGCCTTTTTGATCGCTGCTCCATGGGACTGGGTTTTCTTGAGCTCATCTGTCCAAAGACGGCTCCGGGTGAAGAGAGGTCCCACCTGCCCTCTGGGTGGATACTTGAACCAGAGACATCCCCCACCTTCTGCTCCAACCTGGAGGCAGCCTTCCTGTAGGGCCCAGAGCACCCACCAGTGGGCACAGGATCCCCGTGCCTGCCTCCCACCCTCAGTCTCATGGTGTTCGACTGGGCTGTCCGTGCACAAGCAATGCAATGGCAGGCCTCTGCCGCCTGCCTGCCACAGCGCACGCAGGCTGTGTCTGTGCGTGCCAGTATCTGTTGTTTATGGTGTGACTCCCCTGGAGGGCGCCCCGCCCTACCGGGCTATTTATTGCTTAATTTATTTGTCGAGGTTACTTCCTCTGAGCAGCTGCCTCCTCCAGGCCTCTGGTGGCAGCAGTCATAGACCCTGTCCTGACCTTACACCTGGAGTAGGTCCCCAGTCCACCTGTTTGGGAGGAAGAACTTGTACAGTGGCTAATTTAAAGGGAGTGGGTGACCCCGCCGCCCTGGGCATCTGCACTGGGGGTGGGTTTTAAATTATTGACCTTGTACAGTCTGCTTGCTGGCTCTGAAAGCTGGGTGGGGGACAGAGTCTCAAGCCCTTAATTTATTTTAGCAGCTGTGTTTCTGTGACCCCGGTGTGATGGGCATCGGGGATGGGGGGTTCTTTCAGTTCAAAAGTGTGAGATGTCTGGAGATCATATTTTTTATACAGGTATTTCAATTAAATTTTTTTTGTATATAAGAGATGTCCTGTGTTTACTGTGCTGGGTGCCCAGGTGGGAAAGTGGGGTTGAGGGGATTCCTGACCCTGAGTAGGTAGCCTTTCCAGATTGCCTCTGGAGGCCGTGCCCATAGTGGGGACAGAGGGGTCCAGTCTCTTCCCTTGGGAGGCCAGCCTGGCTCCTGGTGTCTCTTCCTTTAGGCAAGAGGGTCCTGTGTGTGGTTTGTGGCCTTTTGCCATCCCATTCTCTGCACCCAGAGGAATAGGCCAGGCTGGTCCAGGGATGATCCCAAGAGGAGTTACGGAGTCTGCTCAGGGAGGCTCAGGAAAGTAGAGATGCCTGGTTACTGTGCAGATGTTCTGAGTGATATGTAGGAGTTTGCCAGAAGGATGGGGTGGGAGGGTGTCCAGGCAATGCAGACAGTACCTAAAGAGGACAGGTGGGTGTGGTAGGGGCATGTTGAGGTGTGGCCAGTTGTGTGGTGGGAGGGGAGGGGGAGGGGGGCAGGGGGAGAAGTCACTGTGATGCTCCAGGAGCCCTGCTGAAGAACCCTTGGCAGGTAGGCAGCAGGACAAGAATGTCCCTCTATGGGTCCACAGGTACGAAGAGGGAGAAGAGAAGCTACTCTTCCTCAGGCAGGAGAGGGTTGGGCGGAGGCTTCTGGCTCCACTGGAATCCTTGGGTGTTTGTGGACTGCCTCTCCTGAGGACCCGTTGCTGAGGGCAGGAGTTTTCAGGGGGCAGAACCTTGCCCACAGGTCCCCCGCAACCCTATCCCTGCCCAGCAGCAGAGACTGGCAAGTGGGAGGAAAGTGCCTGTTCCCACAGCCCTACCTGGCCAGCTTGCCCAAGTCTACCCAGGCCCACTGGGCCTTTTCTTTTAACTCACCCCAGCGCACCTAGCAGAAGCAGGGTCCAGGGGCAGCAGCCCTGAGCCTGGTAGCTGGAACTCAGCATGGCCCATTCTGGTTTCCTGGTCGGGGGCTCCTGACGGACGCAGCCCCTGTATCACCACACGGCCACATGGATCAGATCAGGCTGGCCCATTGCTAGGAGAGAATGCCAGGCCCACTCCCCTGTCCCTAATTCCTCCCATCCATCTGTCCACCCTCCTCCACTTACTCTGCCATCCAACCTCCTTCCATCCTTTCCTCCACCCACTGCTCGCTGAGCTGTGCTGGGGCTGAGTCAAGCCCCTCTCCCCCTGTGCTCTTAGCCACCAGGTCCTTCAACTTGGTGGGAAGGCATGTTGGGGCCCTGGGAATTGGAGAATTGTAAAGGAGGCCAGTCCTCTCACAGGGGAGCAGCAGGGCAGCAGAAGCTGGCCACCACAAGTTCAGGGAGGTCATGCTGACAGGTAACACTTCAGCAGGTGGAGGTGTGCAAAGCCTGCAGGGACTTCACACGAAGGATGCTGTGTGGAGAGTGTCCATACCAGAAGGACACGCTGTCCTCTGCGCACAGCAACACCACATGCAGAGCATGTCCTGGGAGTCCACAGACAGGAGCAGGCAGGCCACCATGCAGCTTGCCTAAGGCCCTGGCCGTCCAGCAGTGACCTGCAAGTCTAAGTGTGTGAAGCTGGGGAAGGAGTTTGGAGGCCTCAGTACCACTCTGAGGAGAGGAGGAGGTCCAGGGAGTCTGGAAGTGCTGCTCTCCCCCCAGCCCCTGTCCCTCCTGGAGATTGAACCACTGAGCAACTCAGCACACAGGTCCAGGAGAGCAACAGAAGTGGGCATGATAGGCCAGGCTGGCCACCTCAGGAGGCGGGGGTGGGTGCTGATGGTTCAGGGGATACTGAAGTTGTGGACACCGGTGACCAATGGGGTGGAGGTAGGGGACACACAGGCCTGTGTACCTCAGGGCCAGGGAGCAAGTAGACACAGGCTCAGAGAAGCAAGGTGGCCCTGAGGACAGGCAGGGGTCCCCAGCCCACGGAGGAATGAGTTGGCACACATGCAAGTGTAGGGCCAGGGCCAAGTCACCCTGAGGAGCTGAGGACCATCTGGGGTGAGAGAAAAGAAGGGAGGGGCAGCAGTGACTCACACCTGCAATTCCAGCTACTTGGAAGTTGGCAATGGGAGATGACGGTTCAAGGCCAGCTCATGAAAAAAATGAAACACACCCCCCCATGTCAAAAAACAAGCCGGGCATGGTGGTTCACTCTGTAATCCCAGCTACTCAGGAGGTATAGGTAGGAGAATCTCAGTCTGAAGCCAGTCCTAGGCAAAAAGCTTGAGAACCTACCTGAAAAATAAAACAAATAGGGCTGGACACTTAAGGGATGGCCTTAAGTGATGGCTTAAGTGATAGAGTGCCTGCCTTGCAAGCATGAGGTGACCCCAATACTGGAAAACAAAACAAAACAACAACAAAAAAACACTTTTTCAGTACTGCTTGTGCCCACCTCACTCTACGTCTCCATTCTGACTGGTTGCTCCATGAGCACCTTTTCCCCACCCTCTGAGCCCAGGCTGGGACACTGCTGTCTGGGCACTCCTGGGCTGGACACCATGGGCATTCCCAGCCCCAGCTAAACCAGGCAAGGACTCTCTACCTTGGTTGCCCTGGGGGAAACTGAGGGAGGCCCAGAGAGGCAGAAACCTTCCTGAAATAGGACTCACTGCCATGGCCTGGGGTGGGTGCGACCTCTATGTACTGGCCTTCCAGCTCAGAGATGGCTTACCGAGTGCTCTCAGTTCAACCAGGAGGAGACAGTCCTGGCCAGCCTCGGGTCCTTATCCGCCCTGCCGCAGCCGCCAACAGGAGTGGGTCTCAGGTACTGGGCTGTGGTGTGGGCCTTTCCTGGCCCTGGGCTGCCCCTCCATGAGATTTCAGAGAGGTCTGAGGGTGCATTCCCAGGTCGTGGAGACAGGCAGAATGTCCAGAGCTGAATGCTAGGAGCACCCCATTACGTCAGCTTTCCCCACTGCCACAAAATACCTCAGACAAACAACTTGAAAGCAGGACAGATTTATTTTCTCACAGTATCAGAGACTCAGTCCATGGTCACTTGGTCCATTTTTTTGGGCCTGTGTGAGGACGGTACCTCTTGATGGGGAGCAGGCACCCCATTCACTCCACAGTGGTCAGAAAGCAAACAGAGAGGAAGGGGCTGGGGTCCCAGTGATCCACGTCCTCCAACTAGGCCCCACCTCCTAAGGGTTCCACAGCCTCCCAGTAGCAACACTGGCTGAGGACCAAGCCTTCAACAGAGGGCCTTGAGGTCACTTCAGATCTAAGCCATAGCACAGTTCTCTGGGCAGCTCTGCCTGCCGCTGTTGTGGCTGCTCCAGGCCATTTGACTGGCACGTGGGGTGTGGTGAAGGACTCAGGGCCCCCTCCATTCCTGGGCTCTCTGTGTCTGGGTGCCCCAGACGCTTCCTCGAGCTCTATCAGGGTCTGGGCGACCCACGTGCTGGGGTGGATTCCAGCACCTCCTCCCAGCTCTGAGGTCTGGGGAGAAAGCCAGCAGTCCCAAGGCAGTGTGCTTGGGTGGTGTCTGTCTGGATGTGTTCAGGGGCCTTCCCCACAGACAGGTGTGTCCTAGCCTCCAGGACAGCAGCACCCTCGGCACCTGCAGTAAAGTGATGACCTCTGTGCCCCACTACACTCACACCTGGCAGGGAGACACCAGGAGACTGGCCAGCATGGGCCTGGAGGTTCTGGGGCAGGCCAGCCTCTAACACCCTCCCCAGCCATGCCCGTTCTCTGTGCAGGGTGAGACCTGGGCCTGCTCAGTTTACAGGTCCTCAGTTTGTCACACTCCCACCCTACACACCCTATTGTTGCTTTTGCTTTTTGGTTTCTGAGGCAGGGTCTTGCTATGCAGCCCAGGCTGGCCTGGAACTACCAGTACCCCTGCCTCTGCCCCAGTGTTGGGATTACACATGGGATCCTCTTCTGCTAGGGCAGGATCTGTCCTAGGGTCTAGGGGCTGGGAGAGGAGACCCCCCAGACCCAGGGCACTCTGGCCAGGATGGATCTGCTGCCAATGGCAGAACCATGACCCTCCCTGAGGCTGGCATTGTTGGCCCTGTCATGGCTCTGGCTGGAGCAGAGGGGGCAGACCTGCCCTAAATGATAACCGACTGGGGGCACAGCCCCCAAAGCCCTTTCTGCCTCCTGCAGGCTTCCTGGGTTTCTCCCCTCTACCAGTAACCCACACTGGTCTCTCTCCTTATGCCTGGTCTGGTCTGGTAGCTCTGACGATTTTCTGCTCAGCTAGGCCCCCATCACTACACATCTTAATATCTTCAGCCAAGTTTGCTGACTTAATATGTAAAGGCATCCTTAGAACCTTTTAGTCAAATCCTGGAAAACCTCCACCCTTCAGGGAATCCTGGACAGGAGGCCCTCTGCCAGTAAGTGTGGGTTCCCACTGTGTCTGCAGGCTGAGTCACTCACATAGGTACTCAGTGTTTGAAAGATGGTTGGCTTGTTCACAGCTGGTCCCCAAACAGGTCACAGGATGGGCTGAGGCTGACTGTGCCCTTGAGGGGTGAGGCTTGGCCTCAAGGCTGCTCTTCCTGCCTCCTTGCTTGCCTGCCTCCCCTGGCCTCTTCACCCACTGGGCTGCAGGCCAGCTGAGCTTCTCTAGAGGGAGACCAGGACACAAGCTGTCTCCAAAGCTGGCCTCTTGTATTGGTGGGGCCTTGCTAAGTTTCTTTCCTCCAAGGCAGCTCCAGAAACGAAACCTTGGTGTGGCTTTGATGCCAAAGCTGCGTGGCAAAGGGAAGTGATCTCTGAGGGCCTGGGGAGCCTATCTGCCCCTCTCCCCCCGACACCCAGGTCCCAGCTGGTCAGCACCCTGAGGGGGAGGGAAGCAGCTCCAAATGCAAATGCCAGGTGCAACTGTGGGCAACTCACACCTGGTCCACAGGGCCATCTGGGACAGAGGCCAGGTAGTCCCAGATGGGCAGTGAAGCCTGAAGAGGTAGGGCTGAGGGAGTGGGCACTAGCCCATCTGACCCATAGTTTCAGGCCTCAGCCTCAGCTTCAGCATCTGGTGTAGGGGACCACAGGCCTGTCGATGCCAGCATCACACGAAACCCTAAGAGGACAAAGCCTGGGAAGAGGGTGCTGGGTTCATGGCAGGGCATGCTTGTCCTCCACAGGGAGCTGCTGGGTAGCCAGAATCTGGACAGGGTCCGTGGAGTGTTGAGAGGCCTGAGGTCCAGGACTGGTGATGAGGGATGACGTCAGCAAGCCTGGCCCCTGCCAACACAGTAAAGGGGCAGATAAGAAACTGGTGTGTGTGAGTGGGGTCT